TTCTACTGTGATCAGTCTACGAATCTCTTCATCAGGCATTGTCGTATGAAATGGTAGTCTCCACAGCAGATTCGAGTTAAGGGAAGCCCAATTTGCCCTGAGGGCTGAGCGCATGTGGCCTGGCTTGATGGTATCGGGTCTTGAGACCGGGGACTTTTCTGGCTTGCCTGCTGGCTCAGTGACATACACCAAATGGGGTCTCGTCAGCTGGAGCCTGTGGATCCAACATTAAGCCCCAGTCGATAGGCAGTAGTCACATGTAGGAAACAAGGCAAGCAGCACAATTGACATACGAAGAGAAGTTGATTTTAAAAGGATCTAATGGATAACTATTGTGATTATGTGATTATGTGTGATGAAGAGTTTCTTTGGTTGGCCAAACCATGAGAAGCTAGGCAGATTCCTCTTGTCCAACAAATAATTTGGCTCTATTAGATTGTTCTGACCGACGCAGTCCTTACGTTCCAAAGAAAACGTTATAAGCTCTCGATTCTATGCAACTTGATAGATATCGGACGTAGACACCATTCTTCCAACTTCTTCTAATTAACCAATCAAGAAATCGCAAATGCTTAATCCTAATTTTTTCAAATAATCACGTGAATTGTTGTGAGATATAAAGCCAGTTGGTTAATTCTTATTATATTTCGTCATAAAATCAGTTACTAATCCGTGCATTTGCGTAAATATGTGTGTGTGTGTTTGTGCTCATGTTAATTAAAGGATAATATTAACCCCGATACCATACAGAATATGGCATTATTTTCTGCCTTATCGCTTCATGGCCATCAGAAGGACAGCCTTATAATAAGTCAATTAACAATCCAATTAAATTGTAAGTGTTAAATTCAAGATGATATAGCCCCTATTCTAGTCGCAGTCTCCTTTCTATGCATACTTTTTGCCCATTAGGACTTTCATTTCGTACAAAAGTACATGATTAATAGATTCGTAGATTAATATCACCAGAAGTCGTCGGCTGATTCGCATTGTACTGCAACCGTTTGGCCTTAATACGACATTCAGTTTGATGCGGTCCACGAGACATCCTCCAATGTTTCGGGCGAAGACAGGCTGAGCTTTCGTTCGTCATGCCACATGACGAACATCATCAGAGCTGGGACTCATTCTTGTAAAAGTCTCAAGTTAACACTAAGTCAAGAAGACTCTTGATGTCAAGTTCCTTTCTGAATACCCTGAGTTATGACCGATTTTGCTTACGGGATTTTAACCAAACATCTATACCCTAAATTTTGCTCGCAATGAATATATATATATATATATATAATATAAAAACAGCCGATCAGTCTTCCTGACTTAGTTTTAACTTGAGGCTTTTGCAAGAATGAGTCTCAGCTCTGACGATATCCGTCACATGACGAACGAAAGCTCAATCCGTCTCCTCCAAAGACGTTGGAGGATGTCTCATGGAGTGCATCGTAGTAAGGCCAAACGGCTGTAGTACAACGCGAATCAGCCTACGTCTTCTAGTGAGATTGAACTACGAATCTCTTCATCATGTACCTCTATACGAACTGAAAGTTTTCGCAGCAATATTATATTGGGAGATTCTTTAAAATCCGCATTTTATTCGTATATATTAATTTGTTTCTGACATTTTCTCAACCTAGACATTTGTCAGATGGCCATCGGAAAACGAATTATGTCTGCCCTCCTTTACCATAGAAGTGACGATAATTTTCACATTTCCAATTTTTTTTCGACATCGCAATGGTATCGTAAAGGAATCTCTGGGGGCACCCTGACTCTAGCCTTATTGGGCCCTCATAAAGGATGCGAGTAGATGGATTCCTACTTCATCTGGTAAAGAACCGTATTTTATTAGGAATAAGTTGTTCACTCTCTGAACTATCATATGCATGCCTCATATCACGTTGCAGTTGCTTGGGCTAACTAGGAGAGGTAGCATCCGTGGTCCATCTGGCATGAAGGTGGTCTTATGGACTGAATTGTGCGGGAAAGTTCAGAGCAAAATCACACCTTTTCTTCAGAATACCAAGGATTGAATCACTTTTATTTTCTGTTTTACCACAAAATAAATGGCTAATTTGGTCAATATGGTGCTGTATATAAAGAGAACATGAGATTAAATAATCCTATTATACACTATAATACTGTACCATCCATTTTGTTTGAGAAATTCGATGAATTCGTATATTGGTCCTGTCATAAAACGAAAATATATTGCTTTGAAGCCGTGACCGTTCAGTTGTTCTGAACTATCGTGTATCTCGCTCAAGCTGACAGTATGGCTCTATGGAGTCACATCCTATAACACACAACACATCCTATAATTTTTTTTACACAAATCTTTAGTTTACAGACTTTATTAATCATAGAAGTGGGTTGACCTCGTTTTCGCAACTTGGTCGTGTTGCTACGGCGACCTAGTTAGGCTCGCCTTATACGTAATACTTTGCTGTACCACTTATAATTCCCAGTGTTGGAACGTAAACGTATTAAATTCCCAGATATTTCACCGGCATCGTAATTGAGTCCTACCGTTCTCAGCCTCAAGTTATAACTCGTCAAAGATACAAGAGTTGTAGTTTTGTGCTAAGAATGGCAATACTCATTGACAATGCCGACTGCGATACCAGCGAAACGTTTGTGAATGTATCAAATCCATCGTCCAAAGCTGAGAATTACTATAACTACTATAACAGATGACTTCGGACATGGTGCGTCCACTTAAGTGCCCTGACAACATGAAAAGATTGCCAAAATGAGGTCAGACCACCTTTATTAACTATAAGTCACTAAAGGTTTGATCGTCATATTTATTATCCACAGTAAAATAAGTAGGACTCAGGCTGTAAATGAACTTTACTTAGATTTGCTTATCAAAAGTTTTTCACTTTTCCCATAGACAGGGAAACTTCAGCTTAAGTTTGAGAGCACCCAACGAGATACGAAAATGAGCCATAACTATGTGAAATTATTTGGAAGCGTCATGCCCACTCATATCAATTTGGCAAAATTTAACAATAAATCCTCTTATCATCCCAAACGAAATAGAATGAATACATATTACATATACGATATATTGGTAGCTATGAGGAGTAACTAGGGTTCGATGAATCTCCCGAGATAACATTGTTGGAGGGACTTTCATTTCGCATGAAAGTACATGTAGATGAGATTCGTAGGTCAATCTCACCAGAATAGGACGGATGAATCCCGTTGTACTGCAGCCGTTTTGCTTTTATACGACGTTCAGGTTGACACAGTCCACGAGACGTCTCTCGTGGACTGGTGAGATCGACCTACGAATCTTTTCTTCATGCACTTTCATACAAAATGAAAATCCTCTAAACGATCTACTGGTAGCCTCGAAAGCCTACTTACAATTGAAAAATAAGTAACATAGAGGTTGTTTGAT